ATAAATGATTGGTTGCATGTTAGCTCACCCTACTTGTTTGTGTGTGCGATGATCGTAAAATTCGTTATACGGGAGCTGATGGAGGAATGTCGTCTGATTCGGTGCCAATGAAGAAAGAGATAAAAGAATAAATTAGAAGAATTCGAGTTATATTTATGAGTTTATAGTTGAAATCTGAGTTTAAAACACACACACACACACACACACACATATATATATATATATATCAACTATGAATTATCAAGCGTAATATTAAGGGATGTTACCTTAAATATAATGCTACAATATATCAATTATGAATTATCAAGTGTGAGATTTTGGGATGTTACAATAAATCACATTACTCAATATTTATATAAATATTATGTAAATAAAATTAAATAATAAAATACATTAAATATTATAAAATTCAGTTTTTATGTTTCGTCTACTTTAAAGAAAATAAAAATAAAACTTTACATTTTTTTTCTTGTTCAAATAAATAAATTATTTCTTACCTTTAATTAAGATAGACGTTTTATTAAGGTTAGACGAAATTATATTAAAAATACAATGTGGTGGGTAATAACGTCAGTTTTTAATTATTTTTATGTGTCGATTGTGATGAATAAATAAACTTTTTTTTTAGTTTTAATTGTTTTATTCTCAAGTTTAATGAATTTTATATTTTTTTGTATTTTAATTGTTTTATGTTTGTTTTATCTTTAATTTCTTTGTTTGAGTGTGAAATAAATGAATAGAAAGCGATTTTAGTGGAGGAAAACAAGCAAAAATTCAAGAAAACATGTTTTTGGACAAGAAAAGATCAATTTGAAGTAAATACCTATGTTGAACGCCTTTGGGATCAATATTGTCAAAGTGTCAAGGGGCTGAGCGCCCCAAAAGGGGGTCTGAGTGCCATAGGGCTAAGTGCAATAGGGCTGAGTGCCCAAAAAGGGGGGCTTGAGCGCAACAAGGCCAAGTGCAATGGGCCGAGTGCCCTAGAAGGGGGGATGAGCGCAACAAGGCTAGGCGCCCCAAAAGGGGACTTGAGCGGTGTCGACACTGACCTTCCAAAATAGGTTATTTAAGCATGTTTCTTGCAAGATTTTCACTATTATTCTCCTCCTACACTTCATTCTTCACCTAGAGCAATTAGGAGAGGCCTTTGGAGGTTGTTTGAGGTGCTGGCAAGTTCTCCCACTCCTTCTTAGGTCTTCAAGCTTCATCAATGGTGATTTTGCCTTTTTTGAGTTGAGGAAGAAGATAGGTCATGAATTGGAGATGGAAATGAGAAGGGGAAGCGCAATTGGAGTATGGAGTAAATGCAAAGAACCTTGGGAAAGGTTGTGCACCTCTCTATGGTTTAAATTTCTTTTTTATCTCTTCAATTTTGTAGAATCCTAAGTTTTCCACCTTGGAAGACTTTTCCTATTTGTTGAGATTAGATGTAATAAACTGAATATTGTGTATTTTGTGATGTTAATACATATTGTTTTCCATTTCAAAGTTAGTATTCAATTTCTATGCTTAATGTTTACTTTGGTTTTGCCACCTATGCATGATTTGTAGTTTTTGAGGTATTGGAAAATTTGACTTGAACCTAGAATTGGAATTCAGTAGTGCAAAAAAGTGTTTTTACGTCTATGTTTTTTGGCCATTAACTTCTAAAAAAAATAACAACATCATATCGGGAGACGTTAAATTAATGTCAGATTTAAAAATTCAACGTTAATTCACGTTGGACATAGAGAATATGCGATGTCTGACATAAAGCAAATTGACGTCGAATATTGCTTTATGTCTGACGTCAATTAACGGTAATTAATGAAGAATTTTGTCATTGTCCGACGTTAATCAACTGTTTTGTTTTTTGGTTTAATACCTCTTTTGGTCCCTCGAAAGGGGACAAAAGTTCAATTCGGTTCCTACCTTTTTTTAGAAGTTCAATGTGGTCCCAACTTTTGTAAAAAGTGTGCAATCAAGTCCTTTTTGGAAACGGCGTTGAGTTTTTAACGGAGCAACTGACAGGGTGGACTGAAGTTACCTACGTGGCTGTGTGTGGGTAATACGTGGCTGTGAGAGGGTCATACGTGGCTGTGAGAGGATAAATGTGATAATATTACTGAGGTTAAGAAATCAGAAGTTAGGGTTTGAGTTGCAGAGAAATTGGTAATTTGGGATTTATCATCGTGGAGGAAGTGTGTTGAAAACACAGACAAAAACAGAGGAAATGCAAGACAAAAACATACAAGACTTCTCTTCAATCCATTTCTTCAGTAAAAATTGACAAAAGAGAAATATAAACTACATAACTTTTTCTTTGGTCTGTTTCTTCATTAAATTGCAAAAAACAGCGGAAATATAGAGAAAAAACCTACAGAACCTTCATCTTCTTTGATCCATTTCTTTACTAAATTGGCACCACAGGGGAGATTAAAGTAAAAAGAAAAAACGTAACAGTTTTGTTCCGATCCAGTTCTTTACTATATCACCAAAAACAGAGAAAATTACGAAAAAACCTATAACATTGTTTCATCTTGTTTATCGAATTGCCAAAATAAATGAAATTAAAGTTATAAAATCCGGTAAGACAGTTCATTTCTTCTGATCCATTCCCTCAGTGGGAAATTAAACCAAAGAAATATTACGTTATTATTTCGTATTTTACCCATTTCTTCACCAAATCGACACGAAAATAAGAAATTGAACAAGAAAGCGAAGCACGACCTGCGAATCGTTAGGGCAGAAGGCGAAACAGCGATCAACAAGGGAAGAGGGGAAGGACTTGCAGACATTGGTGAAAAGGTCGACGGCAGCGTCGAGATCGGAGGAGGAAGGACAGTGGACGATGCCGACGACGCCGAGAGTTTTGCGGTTCGACTGAAAGTCCTCCNAATATCTCAGGATTCTGAAAACCCAATTATAGAGATACATTTTTTCTAATGCTATCACAAACTATTTAGTTATTTCATTCAAGAGAACACTTCAATCATTGTCTTTGGTTCTCAAAAATACCTATTTGATATGACAACATAAACAGAAAAATATTAAAACAACTATACAGGAATATTCAACTCCATATATCGGATGAGTCAAAATACAGTAAAATGGAATGAAGTTCAAGTTTTGATAGGGACTATTCAGAAAAACGTAGTTATAAGCTGCTATTCTAATAAATGTCAGTCATCATTAACTCTAGCTTCATTTTGCATAAGTACAAATGAGCTGGCATTGAAAGGATTATGACACTACGATTTAGTCATGATATACCCCAACAAATGCTAAATGACTTGGTGGTGGTTGTTGTCAAAATTGTTGTCGTCATTGTGGTATGACTTTAACATGATATGAGTTGTAGGAAAAGAAATCTTTAACCAAGTAAATACCTCACAAAGGGTAAAGCAGGATCAGCACAACGAGTCCCTGGTGGCAGCCTGTCAGCTGAATTTGAAAGTGCATTAGCAAGGCCATTTTGCCCAGCAGGTGTTATTAGAGGATAGTAGGATCTAAGGAGTCGTGCTGCTGCACTCCATGCAGTAAGAGGATCACCAGCACGGACAGCAGAAAGTAGAATTTCTCTTAATACAACCATCTGGAGGGTACTCCATTGAGACTCAAATAGTGAGACTGCTGATTGGTGGTTTGCTTTCCCACTATCAGCATGATTTGATACAATTCCATTCTGCAAAGAAGTAACAACTTAAGTTCTAAATCTATAAATGCATGTGCTGGTCAATAATAAAAGTCATTTCAACTATCAAATTTGTTTGAGCTCTGATTTTAGTAAATGTTTTTATACTAAACTTAAAACTTTGGATAATTTGTGCCATCCACTAAAAAATCTAAATACTAGATGCTAATAGGCAAACTCAGTGTGCACAAGTTATATGGAAGCACAGATATTCAAATAAAAAACGCTAATGCCATATAGTTCACGAACTAGCTACATAAGATATAAATAATTCAAAATCATATAAATCCTTTCAAGACCAAACATTATAACATCTTTGCATATGTTTCCATTGTGATGATGGACTTTTACTCTTCTAATAATAAATTCCACAAAATAAAGCACCGTATTTTTTGACAACTAATGAGATAGATCAATGCTCAAAATGCTTTTCTATTATTATCCTGACTTCAAATTTTTTTTCGTTCCTAACCAACATCAGAGCAATACAAGAAAATATTTATGAGCAGTAACAACCTAGACTAGGGGTCAGGTTAGTCAAAGCAACTAGATAACAGAGCTGGCAACAGTTTAAGCTCTTACAAAATGGTTTAAGCCTAATTCAACATTAGAAAACTAGCTCACAGGTGAAGATTGCAACCATCATATATTGTATTTTGGTACTATCTATACTAGATGTGAGGCTTGGGTTTTTCCTAATACAAAGTGATCTAGATTCAACTCAATATTACAAAACTAGCTTGTAAGGTGAGGATTATCATCACTTATATACTGTATTTTGACACTATTACTAGACAATATGGACTTGGGGTTTTCCAAATATAAGCAAGAAAAAACCAAAATCAGATATTAGCACTGGTAATGCAATACCACCATAGCAACTACTAATGTCCTGTTTCAGTGCAAATATGCCAAACCAATCCTAACTTTCTGCCCAATGCATAAATTAATTATATAGCAGGCATATATTTCAAGCATACCAATTGTAAAACAAAATTTGGTGCTCTGAGTGGTTAGGCTTGGTAACTCACACTGTGCAAAGAATGATCAGAGATTGATGATCTACTTTGAACATGATAAGCTTTGGTGGTCATTGCCAAAACTTGCATAGCACTAATTGCAGCCAATCTATTTTCTTGCTGCAGATATAACTGTGCAACCTGCCTTGAGAAAAATGCAGCTTTTCTATGGTATCCCAGACTTCCATACAGACGAGCTATTTCAATATACAATATGAGTCTATCACTTGCGTCAATTAAAGATTTAGCACCATCTGCAGCTGTGGTCAACAACTCCACCACCTCCTTGGCCAGCTCTCTCCTTTTAATTGAGAGAATTTAGATAAATTGAAGTCAAATGATGAAAACAAGAATATTGCTTTATGAAAAACAGCACCTCAAATTCCTTTAAACTTTGTGTATACAATGGGAAAGATAATCAGATTATAATGTCAACTGTTTTGGTTAATCGGACTCATTGCTTTTGCAAATTTAATTTGCGAAGCACAGGCAGATATGTTGATCTAACTTGTAAAAGCCAAAGAAACGAACAGCAAAATTTATGTCAGAATGAACATGGTGCATAATCTTTCTTTAAAAATACTCTAAGCTGTACTTAATATTCATAACACATCAACATAGTTCAGTTATTGCATAGTAAAAGCTCAGAAAAGAATGTACCTGCAAAGAAACCTTGCTAATTTCAAAGTAGCTTCAAGTTCAAAAGTTAGGGGAGAAACTCTGCATGAATAGATTAAAAACAATTAAGATTGACAACCAGTGGTATTTGAAATAAACAGCGAGAGGTATAAATACAAAAGATTAATATAATTAGATAAAGGACAATTATGGAGTGTACTAAGAGATCAGTTAATGAACGCTCAAAGCAGAGCCTTTTACCGCTGAGCATTATCTTGTGACTTCTTGTAATTCACTATCACACTATTATAACGATATCTAACTTCTTCTTCCAGTGCTGAATCTTTTTGGCCCATTCGGTCAATCTGGTACAATGAAATAAATTAATTAAAAGATAGAGATGTGAATGCAGGCAAAAGTCACACTGCTCATCAGGATAAGTCATGGTCACCATATATCCACCATCCTGTTCTTTACCTTGCATTGTCACTACCTCATTTTATAAAACTATTAAAATATGAATAGCTACTATGCATGCTATGCCATAATAGCTCCAGAAAAAACAGTAGTGCCTAAGTTTACCTTTAGATTCATTAGAACTGAAAGTGTCTAAATAATAAATCAATAACCAAATTATATCAGACGCACATCATTTCCAAGTTCAACTAATTTTGACCTTTAACCTCACCCTTATAATATATATCCATAATCCAGAGAAAACAAATGTCAGAAAGATTCATATGATTGTCTTCCGCACATCTCATTCTTCTGTTTCAAGGATTCAGATAAATACCTTATTTAATTTGAGTGCCAATGAGGACAAAGATATTTTAGTCATTAGTGTCTTTTCTTTGGCACTATGGCCGACTAACTAGTTGAGACTTTATAATTACTTAGACAGTTACAAGATGAATACTTCTGTTCTTCTAACATTGCATGCAACTGCATAAGAAATAAAGCACTAGTAACAAGTAGTTAATTTTTCAAGTAGGTAGATCAATAATATACGATTGCCAAAGTGCATGATCTTCAATCAGTTTTCAAAATAAAAACTAATCATAAAACGAAGTTTTAATTTTCAGACAGATGACATATACAATCAACAAAACAAAGCGCACAAAGTCCATACATTCTCAGTGATACATAAAGTCCCAAAAAAATACACAGCACATAGATTGCATGACCATACAGGCCATAACGTTTAATATCAAATAAAACAATAATGAAAGGAGAAGATGAGAAAATACCAGCAAGGCACAGACACTACCCTCCAATGCTCCAGCATACCAGAAGTAATCACCAGTTAACCTGGAAAGTTCCAATGCAGTAGAATAATGAGCATTGGCATCGACAGGGGACCCTGCCAGCAAACAGTAATCACCAATGGTCTTCTGGGCACGCCCAAGCCTTCTCTTTTTGGCCTTGATAACCTGCATTCCAACAACACACTCGAGCATGAACCTAACCAAACTAAACCACAGCAGAAACAATCAATCTAAAACAAAAGCAAATAGTTTTCACACAACACCACTAAAAATGAAAAAAAAAAATAAAATAAAATCAGGACACCTAAACATGAACACCTCCTCTGAGCTGAGACTAGCTTGAGAATCTAAAGGCGTCTTGAGAATGGTTCCGGAAGATTCTGCCTGAAGCACCCATTTCTCAAACTCCATAAGCAGTGACGCAGCAATCTCTTGCATCATAGTGTTCAAGTGGAACTCCAATGTAGGACGATCTGCAGGAGGAAACAACCTCAAATTTCCCCCTTTCTTACTTCCTTCCTCAAGCTACAAAACCAAAAATGAAAAAAAAAACAAAAAAACTATTAGACAATTTCATTTTGATCGCTTTCTTCGCTAAATAGCAAAACTCAGTGAAATTAAGGAAAACACAAAACTATAAGATTGTTTCTTTTCAAACCATTTATTCACTAAATTGCTAAAACCGGAAAAAACCTACAGAACCATTATTCAGTCCATTCCTTAAATAAAAATGTCAAAAATAGAGAAATAAAACTATAGGACTACTACTTTTAGATCCATTCCTTCACTAAACTACAAAAAAAATAAAACAGAGGAAATGCAAGACAAAAACATACAAGACTTCTCTTCAATCCATTTCTTCAGTAAAAATTGACAAAAGAGAAATATAAACTACATAACTTTTTCTTTGGTCTGTTTCTTCATTAAATTGCAAAAAACAGCGGAAATATAGAGAAAAAACCTACAGAACCTTCATCTTCTTTGATCCATTTCTTTACTAAATTGGCACCACAGGGGAGATTAAAGTAAAAAGAAAAAACGTAACAGTTTTGTTCCGATCCAGTTCTTTACTATATCACCAAAAACAGAGAAAATTACGAAAAAACCTATAACATTGTTTCATCTTGTTTATCGAATTGCCAAAATAAATGAAATTAAAGTTATAAAATCCAGTAAGACAGTTCATTTCTTCTGATCCATTCCCTCAGTGGGAAATTAAACCAAAGAAATATTACGTTATTATTTCGTATTTTACCCATTTCTTCACCAAATCGACACGAAAATAAGAAATTGAACAAGAAAGCGAAGCACGTCCTGCGAATCGTTAGGGCAGAAGGCGAAACAGCGATCAACAAGGGAAGAGGGGAAGGACTTGTAGACATTGGTTAAAAGGTCGACGGCATTGTCGAGATCGTAGGAGGAAGGACAGTGGACGATGCCGACGACGCCGAGAGTTTTGCGGTTCGACTGAAAGTCCTCCCAGGGACTGGGCGGCGCACCGCCGAGGACAAACTTGAAGCGGAGGGATCCGGAGTCCCAGGGCTGGACTACGAAGGGGGACTTCAGATTTCAAAACACTTCAGATTATCACATTTACCCTCTCACAACCACGTATGACCCTCTCACAGCCACGTATTACCCACACACAGCCACGTAGCTAACTTCAGTCCACCCTGTTAGCTGCTCCGTTAAAAACTCAACGCCGTTTCCAAAAAGGACTTGATTGCACACTTTTTACAAAAGTTGGGACCACATTGAACTTCTAAAAAAAGGTAGGACCGAATTGAACTTTTGCCCCCTTTCGAGGGACCAAAAGAGGTATTAAACCTTGTTTTTTTAACTAATTATGATCCATTTTTACAACTCTACGAGACTTGAAAAGCATAAAAACAACTAATGTAATCCAATTTTTGATATTTTATACAGCATGAACTATGAACAATGAACTATAAGCAAAAACACAAAAACTATCACAATAGAACTATTAACTTGTGTTGGGTTTCATAGCTATGTTATTGGTTTTGGTTGAACTTTTTTTACCACTCCTTAGAACCCCTAGTTTAGGAAAAAAACACCAGGAGCCTTTACTTTAGCTTATGTGAAGTATAAAAATTATTTGCAAAGTGAAGTGCGATAGATCTTTAAACGATCATAACGTTTGCTCTGGTTGTCCGATTCTGTATTATTATATATGGATTTGAGGTAGAAGAAAATTTCCAATCACATGGCAATTAGCATAGCCGGCTATTCTTTCTAGATTTTCAAATTAATCGTTTTCTATTTTTTGTCATTTTTTTTGTTTTTTTCAAACTTGCAAAAATATTTCTTCTAAAATTTTTTATGTGGGCCTCTCATGATACGTTGGTTCTTTGAACAAATTTTCAAGTCATTTAGAGTTGTTTTGAATATACCCTCAATTTTACTCTAAAGCTTCGATGTATAATGTGTAGTGTAGTATGAAAACGAAAAAGAAAAAGAAAACAAACTCTAAAGAAGTTCAACAATAAAACAAAAAAGTTCTTGAAAACGAAATCAAAAACGAAAATTAACCTTTTTGAAGGTGGATTCGTGGGAATAAAGTGTTGGCGCCAGTAAGAGAGAAACCAGAAAGTGCCTATGAAGAGGAACACCAAAACAATTAGTCAAAACAAATAAAAATGATACCTAAAGTAGTTAATCAACATACATTTGTATAAAATGAAAGAAGGATTACATGTGTTAGTCGCCAAGCTTCATTCAAGAAAAGTTTGAGCAGAGAAGAGGGTATCGCGCTAAGATAAAGTGAATGAATTTTCAACCTCTTACCCAATTTTTTATTGAATTCACTATCATATAACGTCTAATTCTAAGGCATTCGACGTCTTATAACCTTTTGACATCTAATTCTAGGATATTTGACGACATAAGGAAGTACATTTTCACCTTCGCGCCAAGAATTTTTGCGAAAATTACCAATAGGACGTCAGACTTCTTAATATCCAACGTCTTATAACCAATTGACATTAGAAAAGTCTATATCCAACGTCTAAACTGAAATTTTATTTACAAAAATGGCACTGGTGATTTTAAATGTTGATTATTCAGTGCTTGGACGTTGAACATGTGACGTTATACGTTGTTTTTGTATTAGTGATTGAACGCTTAATGGATGGAATTAAGATGTTTGTGAATTCATGAGAATGAAGTAGATGAATTCTAGTCTTAACAGATTATAAATTCTCTGTGTTAAATTTTCTTGCACACCAACTACTTGACAACTGTTTGATAAAAATACCAAAAAATGTTTGTTTTGTTTTTGTGCACGTTGATGTCTAATTGAATTATAAAAGGAAGAGTTGTCATATGTAGCTCAAATCCCTTAAGAAAGAATGATATTTATCACTTGCAATTCATCCCTCTCTATCATCTTCCTTCCTTTTTTCGATTCATCCCTCCAATCATATGCCTCTGGTTCATCTTTGAGCTTCTCGGTCAACCAATCCAAGCCCTATAGCTTTTCTCTTCCTCTCTTGTTCGCGAACCCAAGCACGAGGGTGTTGGACTTGGAAATGAACCATTCTTCGAACATCACTTCTTCTTGGCTTCCTTCAACTGTAGCAGCCACGAAACGTTACGTTTCATGAATCTTTAAGGTCTAGAACATTGTCATTTCATGATTAGACAAAAAATCCTTTTAAGTTGACCATCTACACCTTTGAACAGGACCTAGGTGCAAATAGAAAGAATTAATGAAGATTCAAAAACAATTAATAGAAAAGAAAGTCTATTCTAGCAAAAAGAATTTTTTTTTTATTCTTTAAAAACCAATTTTATTTATCTTAAAAGAAGAAATTAATCTTATTTTTATTAAAAACTTATTTCTACCTTTTTACACTAATTAACTTATTTATAAAGAATTAGAAACTAAAGAAGCTTAAGAAAATTATTTTAACAAAGAAAAAGAAAACCAACTAAGGAGTTATCAATTTTTGTGAATATATTAAATTCTACTTTTTCAATATCAATTTAGATACTAATTATTTTTTAGTCAAAACCATGATAATTAATATTAGAGACCAATTTAAAGTATAGTTCACAAACCAATTATAATTTTTTATTCATAATAAAACTATTTTAGATATTAATAATTTTTAGTTTATAAATTAGTATCCAAATTAGATACTAGTTACTAATTATTTTTTATTTCTAAAATTGGTTACTGTTTAAAGATTTTTTTTGTAGTGTATATTATAGTAAATGAAAGATCTCTATGCAATTCCGGTGATAGAATTACTCTTATGAAAATGATTTAAGAAATAAAAATGGTTATATAAACATTCATCAAAACAAGATTCTACACAATAAAAATTAACAACTAATAAAAATATTAAAAAATTAAAAATGATCAAACAATTTGATACACCATGTAATAGAATTGTACAAAAGGAAAAAAATATATAGTTAAGGATATAATAAGATGAAAAATACTTGAAGGTCTCGTAAAGTTTTCTAGATATCAAAATAGTCACACATTTAAGAGATAATGAAAATTATTTTAGGAAAACAAAAAGTTTAAGAAAAAATTATGGATTTTGCTAACGTGGAGGTTGGGGAAAAAATAGAATAAGAAGAAAAAACTAGAAAATATACGAGATACCTAATTTTTTCAATTAAGTATGAAGATGAGAATGAGCATGTACATATCCAACCCCTCTCTATTCTCATACCCGTCCTAATACGCATCCCCACCTCATCTGTTTTTGTTTAAATTGCTAAAAAACTTATAGTTTATTAGGTAATAATATATATATATATATATATCTTAGTGTTTATTTTTATAACCTTTTTTTTTTCTTTTTCTTTTAGCTATACATTTTTTTCTATCTTTTTCAATTGTTTAACTTACTATGAAATCAATTAATATCTCCAAGATATTTTTTCTCGTATTATATAACATTTGTGTAATTATGTTTAAATATATATGAATTAAATATTTTTATCTTTTGTGTTTGAATAGTTTTACTCCTTTTTAATATTTTTATTTAAAATTTTTAATTCTCAATTTAATAGTTCAATGACATAAACTCTTCCTTTACTGGATAATATAAAATAATTATATTTTTTATTCTTTTATTTTTAATTTTTGTTTCATTTCAAAAACTCTTTTTATTTTGCTAAAACAATTTTAATTATCTCTCAACAATTCAACTAGTTTGATATTTGGAAAGTTTTTTAGATCCCTAAAGTAGTTTTCATCTTAGCATACCTTGAATTATACAATTTTTTTTTTCATTTGAGTGATTTTATTCAATAATGTATCAAATTGTTTTTAAAACATATATTTGATTATTTTTACTTGTTTTTAATATTTTATTTGTTGTTTATTTCATGTAGAATACTATTTTGATATTTTTTTATATAATTATTTTTATTTTTTATTCATTATTAAAAGTGTAATTCTATCATATTGTTAAATATTTATTATTTGTGTGATTTTATTTATGTGATGTAATATAAGTTTAATTAGTATATAAAATAAAGATTTCATTAGAATTTAAAAAATTGGAGTAAAAGAACATTTAAAATATTTTTAAATTTGAACATTAATTTTTTTCTTTAAATATTTTAAAATTTTTAAAATTTGTTATATTAACATTTATAAATTTAAATATTTTAGTTCACATAAAATTTTATTTACTATTTTAATTTAAAACGTATATAATTATAAGTTTTTTTAAATATATATTATAATACATAAAAATATTTTGATATTAAATATTTATAATATTATATTTGTAAAAAATATTTATTAATTTATGTAAATTAATTAATTGATATTGGAATAATAAAAAATTATAAATACGAAAACAAGTACATACCGTGACGCACTGATAACTAAAACGGTACAAAATTTTAGTGTTAAGCATATATCTGTTAGTCTACACATATTTTTATAATAATAGAAAAGCTTTCTTTTCTCTCATTCAATCACCTTTATTTCAGTTGGATTTTGGGACGGATTAATCTGCCGTATCATATTCAATTCAAAAAATTAAATATTATTGTATTTATATCCATTCATACTTATTCAATACAATATTCATATATTAGTGATTCTATCGGCCATATAATTCATGTAAGTTTTATATATTATTAGTCAAGCTTTTAAAATTCAATTTTTTATATTTTTAAAGATATTAAAAATAAAATATGATGGGCCTAACCGTCTTTTAGCCCATGAATTCATTAATTCACATATTTAATGAGACTTAATTTACTAGCTTATTGACAAATAATGAGCTTTAAAGTTACTTCAAACACACTTTTTGTGCCTTTAAATTGAGATTCAATTTCCTTAAAACGCAACACAAATTTATACAAAATCTTAACGAAGAGTGTAGAGAGTTAGAATAGTTTTGGGAGAAAATATGATGAAAAGTAAAAGAGTTGCAATATTGATGGTGATTATGTTGGGTTTTGTGCAAATTCTAAGTATTGAGGCAGAACTGCTTTGTGCTGCACAATGTGCTTTAGAATGTATAGGTTCAGAAGACCCTTATTCTATTTGTTTGGCAACTTGTCTTGAAAGTTGCGATAAAGTGTCTACCACTCACTACAATTGTATTACAAAATGTGGAGTGAACAAGACTATCACTGTTACTATTGGTATTTATTTTTTAATCAAATTCATATTTATTTTTTTAATGTTTTTATTGTTTATAATTGAACTAATCTTCCTTTTCATCTTATTTACAATGGCTTTTATGTTTCAGATGATCGTGGTCATGTGTCTGATGTGGTTGATTCCTGTTTGCAAAATTGTCCCAGATTGGAAGAGTAATTAATTGCTTAATTGTAACAACATTCCAGAGCACAATTAGACTTTTTATTTATACATATGTTTGTAATAAAAAACTTTGAAAAATAAATTTTATAATAATTTGTGCTCTAGTTGTAAGAAGCATGAAAAATATTTATCTTAATAATAACAATTTTATTATTAGTAGTAATAAATTTCTTTGTGAATAGAAAATATAATAATTTTATAAAATATGGAAAGATTAATAAGAAATTTTGGTAGCTTAATTGATAGAAAATTTTGGTGTTGAGTTCAAACTCTTTTATACCTTTTTGTTAAAAAAAAACGAAAAAGTAAAATTAAATTTAAAATATTGATAATGGAGAAAGCATTCAGATTTGAAGACATTATTAAGGAATTCATTATGAATCCATTATGTAAGTGGTGATTAAGAAATTAATATAATAAAATAATAATAAATAATATTAAAAAAATTGATGAATAGTGAAATTTTTGGACTATAAATAGCCATGAGGAGGAAGGCTATTTTGCACAAAGAGAGGAAGAATCAAGTGAGAAACCTTGAGAAATAGAGAAGAAAGAGTTAGGAAGAAATTTTTAGTTGCAAGAAGAGTATTGGCTCTGGAGGATTTTTCGGGAAAACAAATTTGGAGCAAGAGAAGTCTGGAATAGAGGTAAGGGGAGCTAGTTATGTTTTGTTTGAACTATATGATGCGTATGCTTGATAATTTATGATTACTTACTGTTGAGTTATATTTTTGTGGAGAGCATGTTGATTAGTATCTGTTGAATATGTGAAAGTTGTATAACCATGGTATATTGAGTATTCTCTAACTTGGATGAGCTTGTTGGCTGTATTGGATTACTGGTTTGGAGTAAGAATGTTGTAAAATAGTTAATATGGATGGTGAGTGGGTGTACAAATACTGTTTTCGGTTACTAAGAAGGGAAGTGAAGTATTATAATTGGGCAATCAGAGTCTAGAATATCATAGGACAGTTTGGATGACTTAGATAAATAAATGGTGACTTATTGAGAGTACTTTGTTGGTAGGATAGAGGAACCTTAAAAACTTGAGTTGGCACATCCCTGATCATAGAGCAGCCCTGGTCTGATCCAGTCAGTTGTGACTAGTCATATGTGCTGGCGTCGAAGGTGAGTTTGATGCGTTCAGACATTGGGTTCTTCTCCGATGACCAATTGGGCAAGTTGGGCTAGTCTAGATGAGTAAATTAAAACTCGTTAGGGTCAGAAAACTGAGTAAATTCATTAGCAACAAGGTAGAATTGAAATTGGGTCCTTAGTTTAATAACATTAGAGTCTTAATGAAAAGTTTGGTAGTGATCACTTTAGAATCATGTTAATGTCACTTTAGGAGCGCCTAGACAAGTTTAACTAGGTATGAAATATGAGTTAGGGACATTAGAAGTTGGAAGAAAGGTCTAGAAGTGGTAAGGAATGGTTGAGTAGATAATTCTGCAGAAATTTCGTTCTACTGATTATGCAGAGTCGCTATGCGAGCTGTCTCGCATAGCGAGACCTTGTAGAGGGTGCTCACTGATTGAGAAATTCGTTGTGCGACCTGGGTGCGCTATGCGAGAGGTTTGAAGTCTGATGTATGCTGCGACTTAATTCGCTATGCGAATTAAGGTGTGCGCTGTGAGAGATCCTCCTGTCTCGCCTTGCGAATAGGATGCGTTGTGCGACTCCTATTGGGTCAAGTCTCTTCTTTTGATATCTTTGATTGGATCAATTGCT